TCTCCAAGTCTTTTTTCCTGATTTTCCCCCCCAATGGTGTCTTTTATGTATCAGTGCTACATGTGTGCACCTATATGTTGTCTCTTGTCTTCAGAATGGATATTGTTCATTTTCCACGGTGAGTCACATTCTGCCGTGTTATATTCTCTTTGCTCTTGTCCTGAAGCCACCCTGGGATCTCTTCACATTTTGAAGCACCTCCGCTCTGTTTGTCCCTGAAGTTCAGAAACTAGATTTTAGATTCTTTGTGAGATAGGATCAGGTATGAGCTGTGTCCTGGTGAGAAAGTGGAGACAGTCTTGCAAGATAGGAAGCAGCGCCAGTCAGTTAACACCATCCTGCTTGTAACACACCACTTGGGAGTGTTATTACATGCACTCAGTAAAGCGGAAGATATCCGGGGGGGTTTAATCAAGGGTATATCCTAGCCAGCAATAGTCTACTCACTGGAAATGTAAGAACTGCATAAGAAATAGCTTTAAAACCCAACTATAAACATTTGGAAGTAAGTTCCATTGTTTCAAGGAGACATTTACTTCCAAATAATTAAACTTAGGATCACAGATTTTGCATGTTCATTCAAAATACAAGGTTTTGCATGTTTATTCAAAAGCAAGTCCCATTGATTTTATGGAAATACTCTGTGTTGAGTCTAAACATACCTTGCCTCTCCATGTAGTAGTAGTAGTAGTAATAATAATAATAATAATAATAATAATATACCCCGCACATCTGGCTGGGTTTCCCCAACCACTCTGGGCGGCTTCCAACAAAATATTAAAAATACAATAAAACATCAAACATTAAAAACTTCCCTAAACAGGGCTGTTGAATTTGGAGTGGGGAGGTGAGGTCAGTTTCATGTCATAGGCATAAAAAAGAAACTGCAAATACTACTTATCCTTTGACTAGTTTGCGATTCCATTTGTTATATCTCACTCATCCTCCCAAGAAATTCCTTTGATGCAGAATCTGTGGGAGGTCCTGATAGGGTTCTAACCAAATGCACATGAGGTACTACTAACCTGGGTGGGCTACTAGCCACAATGGCTATGCTCCTCCTCTACTGTTAGAGGCAGTATGCCTTTTAAATACCACTTGCTAGGAATTATAGGTGGGCAGAGTGCTATTGCACGCAGGTCCTGCTTGGGTGCTTCCCAACAGGCAGCTTGGTTGACCTCTGAGATCAGGTTGCTGGACTAGATGGGCCATTCTCCTGAGCCAACAGGGTTCTTCCTATATGTTCTTATGGTAAAGGTGCTCAAAATGATTTTTTCCTCCTCCTCTTTGTTTCTGGATATAATACCCCCCACCCCTGCAACTTCCCTGTCCCTACACTGTGGACTGAGGTAATTTCAATTAATTGCAAGATTCTACTTTGGAGGAGAATGATGATTTCCGTATGACATTAATGCATGAACTCCTACACCGGGTGCTGAGGTGACTTCCATGAAGCCAAACAATTTAGTGCTGCAGATAATTGATCCTGTCAAGCAGAGAGCATGTTGCGCTGGCAATAGCTAATAATAGAAATGACATTAGTACTTTACATTTTGTTCTCTCACCTTGGCCCTTTATGGGATTCATCCCACTTGGTGCTGAATTTGCTGTTGTTGTTGCTTCTCCTCCTCCTCCTCCTCCTCCTCCCTTCTTACAGACTGAAGAGCAAGGGGTTGATGGTTGGTTTTCAAAAAGACATGGCCTTGACAGAGCTGGAAGACCCCCAAAGCCAAACGTAACCAGACATGTTCTGCCCTGGAGCGAGCAGGTAAGCTGAACAAAGCACATTTTCAAGGAAGGGAGGTAATCTGGAGGGGCGGGGTGGTTTGCACAGGGGACGTTTGGAAAATGATACTAATTGTGCAGTTACCAGCTGTGTGCAAAGGTGAAATCATTGGGCACAATTCTGATTAATAACCTTAATTAAGTCCCAGGGAAATGAATAACTGTGTAAGAGCAGTACTGACCCTCTTGCCCAGTTCCTGTTCATTTCAGTGATGCTTCAAGGAATAGTTTCACAATGGATTGTGGCCTTTCGCTTCACTCCTACTTTGTCCTCCAAAATAGTGCACCTACAAAGGATGCTTTAAGCAGAGGCCATCTGTCTCAGGCCAGGAGATGTGAGTAGATGACCCATAAGGTCTACTTGTGCCATATGATTTTATGAAACCTAATAATAAAGCTTGAGATACCAGCCAGCAATTCCTCTCTTACAGTATTTGAACCCTTCTTGAACTGCACACTAATAAAAACTGAACGCAGTTTTTAGATATTGATGCAGAGAAAATTACAGACACACATAATTAGACCAGGCATCCAAGGCAGATCAGAGGCCAGTGTGCATTCACTCCATCCTGCTCCATCACATTTGGTCCAGCCCATTTCACACTGATTTCCCAGCACTGTTTTACTTTTGTCAGTTCAGGGTAAAGCCCAGCCTGGATTGACTGACACCTGCGCATGGGCATCTGCCTGCTTAATGCACTCATGCATTATTCAGCCATCATTCTGCCTGCCACCATGAAAAGCATCAGGAAGGTCCCGAAGAACTGTGGCAGGGAAGCTGTTGTTAGTGGGATGCACTGAGATGCCCGAGAGGGTAGGTGCTGAGTGATGCTTATGGGAGGAGGATGCAGTTTGATCACAGAGCCAGACCTGGGAGTTGCATCGCAAATGAGCAAATCCCACAGATCAGTAAGCACCATCAGCAGCCAGGCAAAAGAAGTCTGGGACATGCTGTGGCACATAATGGGCTTTGTTCGTTGATTTGTCAAGTGGTTAGGTCTCATTATCTGCGAGGTTTCACGGGAGGCTGGTCAGCATCCTCAGTAGCTTTGTGCAAAATAGCAACCCTGATGTACATGACACCTATTGAGTAGTCAATCCTAAAACATTTAGCCTCTCTTTCCAAAGAAGGTTCCCTGATGGCTGTGGGGAAGATCATTTACTACAGACTGGTGGTGCAATGCATACCAGTTGGGGGGCTGCATGGTGCCTTCTTCAGCTGCCCCATTGGAAGGGAAATCCCTCCCCCTCTCATGATATCCTTCCCAGCAGCTTCTGTTTTCTTCAGCTCCTGTGGATTAGTTAAGCACCATTGACTTCACTAAAGTGGCACATCTGCACCAGCTGATGATCCAGCCCTCCATTTGAAGCGCACAACAATGCCCAGAGGGAGCAGCAGCTGAGATGTGCCAGATTTTGATCCACAGACTTGAATCTAGGAAGCGGGGGTGGTCATTAATCATTGTTTGAATGAGGACTCTGTTCTGATTATGGAGAGGAAGATTAAGAGAGTATTGCTATTAGAAGAGGAGCGGGCCCTTGTTAGCATCTCAGAAAGCTGTAGGCTCAGAAGTTACTATAGAGAAGTTTGCATCTTATCCTCATAATGAAAACTGTTTACTGTAGGCCCCCCCCCCGGTACCTCTCTGGTGTTGACACTGCATGAGATGCCAGAATTTTTGGAGTCCAGTGTTAGCAGTCCCATGCTGTATAGGGAAAGTTTGTGGTTGCCGCAGAATTTCTTTGCCAGGAGTATAGAGCAAGGTTGGAAAAGGGCTCTCCGGCCATAGCTAGCTCTGTATACTGACTGGGCTTAGAATACCCGAGAAACTCCTATCCCGTATGATGTTCCACGTTCACCACAGTCATCTAGAGAGAAAACACTTTGTTACCTTTGATTTCTACAAGAAACAGGGCTTTCTCCGAGTTGACACCAAACCTCTGGAACTTCTTCATTTACAGACTATAAGTAATGCTATGATTTTTTTTAGTTCAAGCCCAGGCTTCCCCAACCAGGTGCCCTCCAGATGCTGTTGGACTACATTCTTGACCATTGGACGTGCTGGCTTGGGCTGATGGGAGTTGTAGTCTTAACAACATCCGGAGGGCACCAGGTTGGGGAAGGCTGATCAAGACCTTTGTACTTCACCAGGCACATACCTGCGGAAACTGACTCATTTAAGATGACTTGATTATATTGTTCCATAAGTTAGAAATTTAAATGTTTTAGTTGTTGTGGGATTATGTATGCTTTATTGTTGTGAATTGCCATGGAAGGTTATTATGGGGTAGGATAGAAACCTACAATTTTAAAATGGTAGAACTATAGGCCTGTTACAGGAACTGAAGAGTTTTGGCTCACATGGTCCCTCCTTAAGAGGCTGGAGTATGACCTTGCTCTGTATCTCTCAGGTGGATATCTGTAAATGGATGCCTAAACAGTTGCTGCTGGGTTACTGATACCTGCAGATGGTGCTGTGAAGTAGCCCATACCAAAATTGTGGCTTATCTGTGCCACCACAATTGTGCTAGATGGTTTGAAACATAGTCTACACAGCAAGGAGCCATTCCTGATCTCAGCATTTGCTATTCATGTCAGGCTTGAAACATCAAATGACACATGCATATGTGACTGTCTAGTCCTACTGGTAGAAAGGACTGAGCCACCTCAGAAGGCACACAAGAGATCATTTATTCGACAATGCCCCTGTATTAAATTCTCCTTGTGTTTGTAAAAACAGAGAAGGTTTCTAGCATTAGCCTTCCCCTGACATACTATTTATTATTTATTATTATATTTATTGAATTTATATATCGCCCTATAGCCAGAGGTCTCAGGGCGGTTCACAGAACAAAATCAAAATATAAAACCACAAAATAGATAATCAAAATAAAAGCAACCCAATAATACCCCTCCATTGGATGCACACAAACATGTGTACCAACTTGCATTTCCATAGGTAAATTAGTTTGCCCACAATTACACTTTACTTGTAAGGGCTCCAGCCTATAGTTTCAAGCAGCAGGATGGCACAGCTACTCAGTAGTAGACCTGTTCATGAATAAAGGCCCCAACCTGCCTTTTACCCTTCTTTGTATCTTGTGTTCCCCTAATTATTCCTTCATTGTACTTTGTACATGAGTATTGCAAATGTGCATGGAATGTGCACAGAATATGTTGCTTGATCAGAGGCAGAGCAAAGTGTTTGGAGGAAGGGCCACAGCTCAATGGAAGAGCAACTGTTTTGAGTGCAGAAGGTCCTGGGTTCCATTCCTAGCATCTCCAGGTAGAGCTGGGAACTGTCTGAAACCCAGGAAGATCACCTGCCAGTTGGTGTAAACACTCCTGAGCTAGATGGACCAATGTTCTGACTCTGTATAAGACAGCTTCCAATGTTCCGTGAGCATCTCAGAGCAGTCTAGAAAGCCTGGCATCCAAGAGAGAACCTTTTCATTAAGAAATGGCTGCACTGCAAGTGTATTTCTATATATTCATTACACTACCATGTTCTGTGAACCAGTCCCATGTTATGCTTTGCCCTGCTGAAAGGGTGGCCAATAGTAATAATGGGGGGGAAATAAGTATATTGAGCGTATGAAGTCAATTAATTAGATGATTGTGCTTAACCACTAGAATAAGCCTCAGAGGGCTGAAAAAAAATAATGAGAAAGAAATTAAGAAATAATGAGAGACAGATACGGGCAAAAGAAGAGCAGCCTGCCAGAACTGGGGCATCTCTTCACTACAAACTTAAACCAATTAAAATGCCACAGATCTCCACCCCCAAGAAATCCTGGGAATCATAGATCTGTGGGTGGGTGGGGCTAATATTCTCTAACAGTGAATTCTCAACATTCTAACAAAGCTATGGTTCTCACGAGTCTTTGAGGATGCCATAAGAAAGAGCTTTAAAACCAGCTTAGACAGGAGTGCCTGGCGTGCTCTGGTCCATGGGGTCACGAAGAGTCGGACCCGACTAAACAACAACAACATGTTTATATTGGCCTCCTTCACACATGACACATGAGCCTTCTGAGGTGGCACAGCCCTTTGTAGCACTCCCATAAATGCATGCATCATGTGCAGGTGCACAGAGCGAAAATGGCAGTCACTTTGCTACAGAGCAAAGCCATGGTTTGGGTTAGCATTAGGTAGAGACCTAGGTTCATGGTTTGTCTCGCTCCAAACAAACCATGAGCTGTAGCCACTGTTTGTCCTTAGCTTACTACTTGTGGTTTGTTGGGTAGAGACAGACCACAAGCCTGGGTTTGCCCATGGCTTGGCTGCAGGTAGCAAAGCAGCCAAAGAACTTGAAGAGAAGTGGCTGTGGTTTTCACTCTGCACACATGTATGCTTAGCCATGTTCTGGCTTAGCATTGCATGCAAAATGAGCCAGTGTGATATGGCAATATGTGGTGCATGCTGTTTTAAATACAAAAGCTTGGGTGGGGGCCATTGGGAGATGGGCATCATCCCCGGGACAGTTATGTGGGCTGGATATAGCTAAATCTAGGAAAGCGTTTTCATAGAAAGGGGATATGGACTAATTAGCAATCATTGTTGAAAGAGCCACAGCTGATGCATTTGATATGACATGGCCATAAATTAAATTTTAGTACAGTGGTGCCTCGCAAGACGAAAAGAATCCGTTCTGTGAGTCTCTTCGTCTAGCGGTTTTTTCGTCTTGCGAAGCAAGCCCATTGACAGATTAGCAGATTAGCGCTATTAGCGGCTTTTAGCGGCTTATCGGCTAAGCGGATAAGTGGCTTAGAAAAAGGGGGGGGGAGGAAAAAAACCCCGCAGGAACTCGCAAGACATTTTCGTCTTGCGAAGCAAGCCCATAGGAGATTCGTTTTGCGAAGCACCTCCAAAACGGAAAACCCTTTCGTCTAGCGAGTTTTCCGTCTTGCGAGGCATTCGTCTTGCGGGGCACCACTGTACCTGTATTGTATTCCTGACACAGATATGGACAAGGCATGGCTACTGTCAGAGTGTGGCTGTTGTTTGTAGAATGAAGCAGTTATTGTTCCAAATTCTGGCTGATACCTTGACTGTGAGGAATTAAGTGCCTGAGTGGTTTGAAACAGGAGAGAAGTAATTCTGAAAAGGAGTTTTTACCTTCTGAAATTTCATCCCAATTGTGCCTACCCAGGAAACGCCTCCCTATCTTTTTAATTCAGTTAAGGTCCTCTGCATTGATCAGTGTGACTAAGCACCATCATTGTGCTTCATTATCACATTGTGCATCATAATCAGCTTCTATTGTGCTGATTATGCCACAAGTATGTACACAACACAGGATGTTTAAGGAGTAATAGGTACCATCACCCCATGCTTGAATGGGAGCAGAGACCTTGATGTCCTTCATTGCATTGAGCCAGATCTCCATACTGGCCCTAAATAAACAGCTGGTTCAGTGGATGCTGCATATACTGCTCTACCAAATAGGAGACTCTTCATCCAGTTGTCTGAGCTGTCTAGTCTGAGCCCAAAATGGTAGCTGTAATTGAAGAGCTTGGGCTCACACTGCATGAATTGGGCCTCTGGTTTTTCTTGAGGGTGGGGTGGGGGTAGGTGGGATAGCAATAGAAGTTGCTACTGAGGTATGTGATGTAAATTAGTATCAGAATCCACCATACATCACCTCCAGCTATGTTAAAAAGGGATGTGTTAACTGCAGTGGGACAGCTCTGTGCAAAAATTGGAAGGCAACAGCCAAACACAAGGAAAGTAATGACTCAGAAAAGTAATGGAATTTGCTAACCTAGCCAGTACATTAACTGCATAACAGGATTCTATTGCGTCTTACATTTCAGTGCTTGAAGAATAGAGATCTGTTGCTCATTATGTGTCAAATGTCCTCTTTATTGCTAACGTAAATAACAAGTATCAGAATGTCTTTTGAAAATGTTTTATTTTTATTTTTGATTACATTTTTGTTAGTGTTGTTAGCCCACATTATTTTACTTTTAATTTTGTGATAGCTATGTGTCAGGGAACTGCCATCAGTGCCGGAGGGAGAGAGCAAAATTCAGAGGGATTCCAGAGAGTATCCCGAGATTGGGAGAGGCAGCCCATCTTCTGGGGAAGAGAATCAGCGTAGCACCAGTGGAGAAGGGGGGCAGATGGGGGAAGTGGCGAGGCGGTCCCATGACTCCTTGCTGGGGACCAGCGGGGAGAGTAGGGGTCCTCCGCTGCCTACGCCCTCCTTGCGCAGAAGGCTTTCGCGCAGAGAGAGTAGGAGGAGACTAGGCGTCAAAGAGCTTCTTTGCTGGAAGAAGTTTAAGAAACGCCCACTGACGGATTCTGCCAGCGATTGAGACAGCCACGGGTGAGTGGCTGTCCGGACAGAAAAGGTTCACTCAGGCAACCCAGCCAGGTGTTTGCACCGGCTTATGCACGAGCAACCCCTAGAACCACTACACTATGTTTTGCTATATGCATGTTATATTTTTAAAAATGGTGGGGAGCTAGAAATAGGGAAGAAGAGACTTGAGTAGCTTGAGCTCAGAGTTTATGATTTTGGGGTGAAGCAAAGATAAATTTATATTTTCACAAAGGCTTTGTAGATTCTTCCTATTCCTCTTGTTTAAGACAGGTTAAAGTATTTTTGCTCCCGGCACATCGCTTATGACACTGGTGTTCACTGCAGTAAACACATCCATGTGGATGATATATCCACACCTTTAGACAAGTTTGCATCATGGACCTGTTAGGGTTCCCAAGCTCTGGTACACAAATGTTGAAAGATGAAGATACATCTTAGCTGTGAGGAACACTGGTGCGCCTGCAGCAGTCAGCAGAGAAAGGACTAAAAGTCAGTGGCAGAGCAGGAGGTCCCATGCAAGAGGTCCCAGATTCAATCCCTGGCATCTCCAGGTAGGATTGGAAAGACTCCTGGACCCAGGGGTGCCATCTACGGGGGGTTGGGCTGAGGGCCCCCCTAAAATTTTCAAGGAGGGGGCTAGGCCCCCTCAGTATTCCACAGGCTCACCTGGCCTACCCATGTCTGCAGCAGGCCTTAGGTGTACATCTGGCACCACCAGGAGAAGGAGGTATTGCAATACTGCGATAGTCTTTCAGGGCTCCTGTCACCATTCAGGATTGTGTTGCACTATGTAATGTTTATATTCTCTCTCTGTCACACACGTACACGCACACAGGCATACACCCACCCACACAGAATTGCCTCGGAGAGCTTGTGTATAGCCTAAATGTTGTTCTTCTGCAGTACAAAGGGAAAGCAAACCTGCATGTATTTGAAGACTGGTGTGGAGGAGCTGTTGGGCACCTAAGGAAGAACCTGCATTTCCCCCTCTATCCACATGTAAGTACAAGTGATTCTGCAAGACGAAGAGGCCAGTTCCAGCATAACTTCCAGGAGGGGGGTTTCTGTTACTCTCTTTGTGTAGTAAATATCTGTAGCCACTGTTGCAGTAAATTTCCATTCTACTAGTAACTAGGGCATTTGACTTGATCTAAGTGCTAATGAAATCCACAAGTGTAGTTCCTTTGATTTCAGCAAGCCAGTATCAGGTATGGTAAGGTTTATCCAATGAGGTGTGCTCCTTATGTTGCTGGACTGCAACTCCCATCATCCCTGACCATTGGGCCATGCTGGGTGGGGCTGATGGGAATTGGAGTCCCAGCAAGATTTGGAGAGTGCCACGTTAACTGCCTCTGGGTAATGGTATCCCATTCCCATGTTCACATCCTTGTGCCTGCTCCAGCTTTAAGACAGACAAAATCAAGGAGGCTGACTTACTTCCATGCAAGACACTGGCAATGCATTACTTCTGTGATGATCCATCTGCTAAGGGCTCATGCTACACATGGAATTTCTGAATGAATCTCCCCAAAAGACACTTGAGTGGGAGGAGGAATTTGAAGAGGAGGTTTGGCGAATATAAATTATTCTGTTTTCCAGTGTGTAAGCATGTTCACAAGATATTTTGATATCTTTTGAGCCAGGTTTTTGCAGGGAGCTGAGTAAATGCTGACTAGTGATAGGTCTACCAGCTTGTTATTGTATTGCTGTTTGATATATTTTAGCTGACGTTTCAGTTATTTAAACTTTTATTGTAGACAACAACAACAAGAATCCACTGACAGCATACAAATCAATATGGCTAACTTCACCCAACAATCCCCCCCCCTTCACACATGAAAAACAAATCTCACTGCAGCCACTAAAGATAACCAACCGTTCCCTAGGCCCTCCTCCACCTCTCTCACTACCAAGGAAATATAATAAGTGAATAGAAAGAGAACCTACCCAAGGGATG